GAAACAAAACCACAAAAAAGAAACAAAAATACACAAAAAACAGGCAAAAAACAAAAAAAAAAAAAGAGCACACGTAGCGCGTCGTCGGGGGCGCTCTTCCTTGAGAGCCCAGAGCCCAGAGGCCAGAACCCGATGCCATAAAACCTTATGGGCCAACGTTCCAATAGGCCGCACAGAGCCAGAGCCACTGACTCTCTCGGCCACTTGTCGCTGGCTCTTTTGGCTTTGCCTCTAAGTACGCTTCCGAATAATTCCCGTAGTTTATTTTTATTGTTGTAATTACACGTCTCTCCACGGGTCGCTCCGCTGGGGAGAGCGCGCGGGGGCAGTGGGGGGGTGGGGGGGCAAGGAGCCCAAGAATTTCAGCCCACGCGGCATTTCTCGCACGGCGAAACTCTTCTTTCTGGCCGCTTGGCAACGCCGCTGTCTGTCTGCCTGCCCCCGGAGTTGCTTCTATTTTTTTTTTTGCGCCAGCCAAAAGTGTGACTCAATTACAACAGCAACAAAAATACAAAAAAAAAAATATATGGAAACCGGTAAAGGTAAAGAAATTTTTGTGCGTGTGTTAATCAAAGAGAAAGAGAAACAGGAGAGAGAGGGAAAGAGAACGCTGTGCTGTGCTCTAATCTGTTCAATTCTTTCACAAAAACAAAAAAACAAAAAAAAAAACGTGTTTTATTCCCCAAAATAAAAAATAAAATCACCCAAAAACACTTGAAGCTCACACATAAAAAAAACACACTCACACACACACACACAAGAGCCAGGGCACAAAATATTCCAAAACGCGAAATATTGCAACCTTTTTGTTTTGCTTTTGTTCCAGAGCCATAATTACAAGATCCGCCACAACAACAACAACAACAAACAACAACAATAAACAGCATAACAATCTCCAATAACAGATAAACGAATAAATACAAAAAAATCGCCAAGCAAATCAAAATAAATATAAAAAAAAAACCGCAACAAAAAACTCGAAAACTGAAAAAAGAAAAATTTAACAAACCATCACTTCATCTCCTACTTGAACGACTCTCTGACTCGACACTCGATTGGTAATAAGAGCAAATTATTATTAAATATTCATGCCCATTGTGTCTCCCCCTCCCCCCCCCCCCCCCGTTTTGTGTTTTGTTTCTTATTTTGTGCATTTTATAATTGTTCGTTATTTAATTGTTGCCCATTTTACTTTTTTTTTTTGTTTTTTGTTTGTGAGTCATTTTGGGTTTTTTGAATTGGCAAAAATAAAAGGAAAAACACTCGAAAATTCGGGGCATAAATTGGATCAAAATTGATTTGGACAGCTTTTCATTTCGAAATGGAGTTCATTTAATTTATATTTGTTAAACGTATTTCCTCGCATCAAATTTAATCACACTTTAAAAAATTTCTGTCGTTTCTTTGGCCGGAAGCAGAAATAGAAAACAGAAAACTGACAAACAGCCAAAGGAAATAAATCAGCTTAAAGAAAAGTAAAAGGCCCAAAAGCGAAAAGAATCTCTTGGTATTTTTCTAAAAGCCCCAAAGTACCCCTTCCCGAACCCCCGACCCCCGACCCATCGCTACCCCACCATCAAAGCATTACAGAACAAAAAAAAAAAAATAAATAACGGCACAAAATAAGAAACAAAACGCAAGAGAGAAAAAAGTGGCAAATTGTTGCTAGAATCAGAAGAATTTCCCATAAAAACCAGAGAGAGAGAGCAGTATTTAAAAAAAGTATATAAAAAATTGAAGATTTGCAAAAGATATTTACAAAAAAAAAAACAAAAACAAAAAGATCCTGTTGAGACAAACAAAAAAATAATTGTGAATTTTATATAAATTTATATATCCATATATCTATATAAATATATATATTTACGTGTGTGTTTGGTTGTTAATTTTGAGCGTAATTTAAAAGTGGTGCCAGGGGGGAAAATCAATTAGGAAAAGGTGATAAGCAGGTCAAAGGGTAAACAGAACAGAGAGAGGCCACCCGCTCCCCCCAAGGAAAGGTTGTTGAATTGAAAATTAAGTATAGATGTATTTACAAGAAGCGAAATAGCGACATATCAGCATCAAAGAAAGCTAAACGAAAGGAAAACCAAGGGAAAAGGAAAAGCAATCGGCAAGCAAAAGATGAGGAGAATCAAACAGAGGAAGTAGAAATCAAAAGAAATAGCTAAATAAATATTGATATTACAGAAATAGCAGCCCCAGAAGACCCCAATCCCCCCCCCGCCTGCAGAACATAAGTGTCTAAGGGATAAAGGATACAAGACAGTCAATTTGTAAACCATAAGCAAGCAGCGTCAATCAGAGAACTCTCACAGCACCAGAGGGAGAGTACCAAGCAATCAATCAAACAATCAAATCAAATCAAATCACAAGAAGAGATTTTTATCCTAGAATTCCTAGCATATTTAAGGGTTAAGGGTTAAGGGCTAAGAGGGGGTAAGTTTTAAAGGGATCGCCGGGTCAAATCAAATGCCTCGATCGACAAGAGTACGCGTTTTGACAATCACACGAAATTAGCGTATTTCATATATACACATCGGATCGGATATATGTACCCCATATATATGATCAATATATATATATATCTATATCTATATACATTTTCTACAACTGTATCTGTAGGATACTATATTTATAAAGAACTTTTATGCTAGCTTTAGCACAATCTAATCAAATCGAATCGATCTAACGATCCAACCTCGTGCGAAACCTTTTACTATATACTACGACAATCTCTCTCCCTCAAACAATCAATCTAACAATCAATCTTAACAATCTCCGAAGAACGGTTTTCATAACTTTATAGATCTCTAAAACCCCACACAAACAAATAATCGAAACCTCCTCCAGTAGTGATATACGATATAGGAAAACACACACACACCCACACACACACACACACACAAACAATTTGTACTAGAAGATACATACGCTTAAGATACGCTCAAAATCCAATCGAAAACCGTAGATGCATAGCAAAAGTTGTTAGCGTTTATTTCTCTGGTGTGTCCTGTTGTCCGGCACGGGGATTCTCTCACTCGAATCGTAGCAACAATTTGCGTAAGGCTTTAGGAAACCAATTGGCATTCAAATAAAAACCAAATATATATCAAATATATACAATATATACAATATATATATATATCTAATCATATTTAAACAGAAACAAAAAAGTAACACCAGAGCTCATATCCAATCCCTACACATCCTGTGCTAAGAGTCCTGTCCCAAAAGCCTCAAGAAATTACCAAAAAAAAAAATAAACACAACAACAAATCATCAAAAAAACTAATCGAAACGGGCCAAGAAAATTAATTAAACAAACAAACAAACAAACAACAACAACAAAGAAAAGTGCACAAAAAACCAAAAAAACAGAATCAGCCGAGATATTTTTTAATCAAGATTTGTTGCCAATAAAATCTGTCATCATTGCCGCGTTAACAGAAACCACGGCGTCAGCAGCGATTGCAGCGCTAAGTATCAGCAGCAGCTCTCAAGCATCGCTAGCCGTTAACGCCTCCACGACCACGCCCCTAGCGAACGCACCGCCGGTGGCACCTCCATCAGCGACTGCGTCAGCGTCTCCAGCAGCAGCAGCAGCGGCAGTTGGAGTCCCTGCCACCACACCGGCAGCAGCAGCAGCAGCAGCAGCAGTGTCGCCGCTAACGGTAAAGAGCGAAATCGCCACATCCGATTCAGCAGCCGAGTCCGAGTCCTCCCCTATACAAGATTTAATCATGGTAAGCGCCGCCCAAAATCAAATCCAAATCAAAATCAAAATCAAGAATCCAAGAAACAAATCCGAAAGAATACCAAAAGAATACCGCAAAATTAATACCAAGAAAAAGAAAAAAAAATACCAATATAGAAAGTGAAAATCTCTGAGAGACGCAAGACGTTTTGAGTTTGTCCTTAAAGCCATACCATACCATGCCCCATGCACCACATGGGATTTGCTCAGTCTATGAATAACTAAATATACTATATATAACCATCCATCCATCCATATATAAAGATACCACTGCAAAATACTGCAAAATTAATAATACCGAATTGTACAGTTTATGCAAAAAGCCAACTACTTGCTATATTCCTCTAGTCTTAACCAAGTTTTTCTTTTTTTGGTTGGTTACATCTCTCACTCTCTCTATCTCTCTCTCACTCTGCTGATGTCTTTACTATAATCTCTCTCCCTCTCTCTGTTCCTCTTCGAAAGACGGTGTCAATGGTTTTGGGATCTTAATTTTAAGTTTTGAATATTGTAAAATACTTGCTTTTGATTGGTTTTTTTTGTGGGTCGTGGGTTTAAGAACTAGTTTAAGTTTTGTTTTAATGATCTCTCTCTCTCTCTCTTTCGTGCCTTTCTTCTGTAAATAGTTTTTAGTTTTATGTTCTGTTGCCAGCCCAAAAGCCATTGACATTCAAACGATGCTAAAAGCTGAAACTTTCTCGACTTCTACTCAAGAATTCTTACAGTCTCTCTCTCTCTCTCTCTCTCCCTGTCTCTCTTTATGTCTATCTCTCACTACTGTTCTACTGTTCCAATTGTAGATTTATCTATCCACTCGTAGCGCTCGCTAAACTCGCTATCCACTGCCAAACCTCGAATCACTTCCTGTAGTCTCTCTCTCTCTCTCTCTCTCTCTCTCTCCCCTTCTCTCTTACTCGCTCTCTCTTGTTACCCCCTCCCTGCCCACAGAAACCATTTATAATTTTAACAGAAATCTTAGGTAACCTCCGACCTCGTTCGCGCCACCAAACCACAGAAAATACTAAAAAAATACTGACTGAAACGAGGAACAAATATTTTCAGTTCATTTTTTGTGTTTTTTGTAGAAATGAAATTTTGTTTGCTTTTGAGTCCATGAATTTTTTGTGTTTTTGCCAATTCAAAAAATAAAAACTGAAAACCAGAAAAATACCAAACAAAAATACCAAACAAAAAATACCACAAATAATCTGAATAGAGCAAAAACCCTTCACACCACGCACAGCAAATGCAATTGTTGCACGCACCGCCGTCCACGCATCCGCATCCACATCCGCATCTGCAGCATCCGGCGGCAGCCGCGACTGCAGCAGCCACCTATCAGGCCTACCCCACGCCGGCCATGCAGACCAGCATCGTTGCCGTCCACCAGCAGCACCAACAGCAGCAGCAGCAGCACCAGCAGCAGCAGCACCAGCAGCAGGCGGCCGTCTTCCATCAGCAGGTGGCGGTGGCCCAGGCCCAGGCCCAAGCCCAAGCCCAAGCCCAAGCCCAAGCGCAGCATCAACAGCAGCTCCAGCAGCAGTACCACTACCAGGCACAGGCCCAAGCCCAGGCACAGGCACAGGCACAGGCCATGCTGCAGACGTACATGCAACTGCAGGTGAACAACGTGAGTGTGGCCGCTGCACCGGCCACGCCCACCAAGTACCAGGCCGGGACCCAGGCTGTGGGGGCGGCAGCGGCAGCGGCAGCGCCACAGTTCTTTGCGGCGCCGAGCACGCCGCTCACGATCATACCGGCTGGGGCGGCGGCAGTGGCCGCCTCGGCGATGTTTGCCACGGCCGCCACGCCCACGTCCGCAGCAACGACACCGACCAACAATGTAAATAATACAGTTAATCTATCAGCCGTAACTAGAACTACTACCACTACTACTAAGCAGCCGCCTGCGGCTGCGGCTGCTGGCATCTGGGGCGCCGGCCTCGGCCTTGGCCCCGGCCCCGGCCGCGGCGGTGGTGCGCCCGTGCCCGTGCCCGTGCCCGTGCCCCTGCCCCTGCTCTCGCTGCTGGGGCCGGGACCACTGCAGGCATCGCCATCGGCGGGCGGGGCCGTGGGCCGTGGCGCCACGGGATGCAGCAGCGCCAGCAGCGCCAGCAGCGGCTGCAGTTCTGCATCTTCTGATTGTTCTATGCCATCGCCAACTTCACTACACTTATCTTCTCCTAAAAAGGTTTGTGTGTTCACTAAAAAAAAAACCAAAACTAAGAAAAGAAAATGATCTCTCACTCCCTCTCTTTGGGAGTCTTTTTTTTCCCGCCAGTCATTTTCGTATCAAAGAAAAAGTAGCATTACTCTCTCTCTCTCTGTCTCTCTTTCCCTCACTCTGTATCTGTATCTATATCTATATCTATTTCTTACTATATCTTGTATCTTTCTATCTGGAACTGAAGCTTTTGCCTGCCATCCATATTTGTTGTAAATGCTGTAGATACATTTCTTCCATCATTCCATCCGTAGATACATTGCTGTTGTTCTTGCTGTTGTTGTTGTTGTAATTTGTTGTACATTTCTCTCGCCCCTGCCACACCCCCCGCCCCTTTTTGTTAATTACTGATATCCGAGACGTATCTTTAAGTGCGGATACCGTTAAGCTAGTGTCTAAGATATACGCCACTTACCAGTAGATTTTATAATTATATATTTATTCATCACATAATAAATGCCACACCCATCCCATTCGTCCTCCTCGAAGGAGGAGTCGATTAAACGCCAATTAAATGAAATTATATATGAATATTCGAATACCGTGGATCCTTCTTCAGGCTGGATTCCTTCTTTCTGGCCCCACGCGCCACGTCCTTCGGGTTCAATGGCTCGTAGTAAAATATTGTGCAACCTCGTGGCATACCAATGAGTCTTTGCCTCTGCCTCTGCCTCTGTCTCTGTCTCTGCCTCTGCTTGTGCCTCCCTTTTTTGTATCGGGCCTGTACGTATTCTGAGGGATTTTGAGGGTCTAAAAGCAGGACTTTGTTGCACCAAAAACGTACTGCGGGGTTTATTATGCCGCATTTTATCAGTCATAACTATCGCGCGTTCCAGGGGGCGAGCATTAACCGCCATTGTTTGGCTAGCACTTACGCTTTGTCCTGCCCGAGGACTCCTCCATGCCTCCTACTGCTGCTGCTCCTGCTGCTCCTGCTGCTGGCCACATGTGTCGGACCATATTGATTAGTTGGCGTTGAAAATGTCACTGCAATTTGTTGGCCGTCGACCAGAGACCAAAGAGAGACAGAGAGGAGAGCGGGAGAACTGCAGGCGCCAGAAGGCGAGCAAAAAGTGTGGCAGCTCCTGCCTTGTTTTTTTTTTTTCCTGTTTCTGGCCCCGACTCGGAGTCGTAGTCGTAGTCGGACTAGTTTTTAGTTGTATTTCCCCAGTTGTGTGGTCGCGGCGGTGTCCTCCACGTGTGATGTATTGTGCCCCCAAACCCCCCCCCCCACCACGTATATCCTGTGTTTCATGTGTCCTGCGCGTGTGTGTGTGGGGGTTTCTGCTTTGTTTGTGGAACGCAATCGGACGGGCGGCCACATTTAGTATCGATTTATCCGCTGCCCCAGACAGCTGCACGAGTGTTAGACGCTGCAATTACCCCCCGTATTAATGTTTAAACTGTACTTAAATGACTCTATTATGGCCCTGCCACACACTCCTTCCCCCCTCCACCCCACCATTGACGTTAAATTATCTGTAATTGATTTTGTTTAACATACGCCCCGCCGCGCCTACATTTGGCACCCCCGCCCATGGCACATCCATTAGCCCCGATTTGCCTCAGTAAAATGTTGATTTTTGCATTATTTTTGTGGAATATTTCTGCCATCCATTAAATGCATTCGGACATGGAAATATTCCCACATTTCTGTGTGTAATTATAATTGTTATTGAGGTATTTCCTTGTTTGCTTCAACAAAATACCACAGACACAAAAATTGCAATTGTAATGCGCTGTGAAAAATCATATTTAAATTTATTAATAAAACAGCAGCAGGTGGTGGCGTGGGGGGGGGGGGGGGGGGCGCTCCCTTTCCGGAACATGTGTATTTTTTGTCAACAGGCAACTGCCTAAGCAAATACCGGATGAAATAGAGCCTCCCACACTCCGGTGGATCCTTGGGGGGGGGGATACAAACAACCGCCAAAGGTGCTAATAAAGCCCCCGCAAAACCGCAGATAAATAAGGATATTGACAGAGCCACAGAGTGAGACATAAAAGATTCAACGCGGAGCGCGGAGGGTAAATAGAAAATGTTTTCAAATTAGGAAAATCTGCGTCGAGGAAAAAGCAATTCAAATAAACATATTAGCGGTGGCGGTGGCGGTGGTGGGGCATTGGGGGACGGGGCGTCCGCCTTTGAAGTGTCGTCTGCGTGGGGCACAGAGTGGGAGTTCTAATAAGCCGGGATTCTCCGCTCTCGGGCCAACTTACAGGCGCACAAATAAATAAAGTTTTTAAATTTGAAAAAATTCATCAAACTTTCAAGCCAGCGTCCAAGTCAAACAAACAAGCGCCACTAGAAACCGAGGGGGTCAGGGGTCAACAAAATAATAATATAAAAAATATTACATTAATCCGTAATCGAAAAACTTGAACACGGATACGGATACGGATACGGACCGGGACCGGGACCGGACCCGGACATGGGGAGCCAACACGGCGGCAAAGTTTTGCCCCTTCGCGCCCTGGAAATTTTTTTGTTTTTGTATATTAAGCGATTTACAAAAAAAAAAAAAAGAAAGTGTTTTCCTTGCACAGAATTTTCAATTATTTTCGGGGTCCGGCAATAAAACAATTTGAAATTTAAATGCAGGCCGGAGACCTGCCAGGAGGAAAAAGTATGTCAAGAAATGGGACAAGCAATATGTTGTCCCCCCCCCTCAAAAAAAGAACAAGAGCAGGGGTGTAGAGGGGTGTAGAGGGGGGTGGCAGCGGGGGAGAGCTGCCATCAAACTGAGATGAGAAAATAAAATTCAATAAACTCTTGTTAAGCACGGAGCAGAAGCGACAGCAGGGACAGCAGGGTAGGTGGGTGTTGGGGGGCAGCAGGACACAGCAAGGACAACGTTTTAAATATTGACAGCTCCCAAAAGGAGCCTTCCTGCCACTCGATGACGAGGCTGTCGAGTAAATAGATAAATCAACCCTAGAGACATGTACACCGAGCACACATTTTTGCATTGATCAAATGATGCTTTCGATGGGGGACCAGGCATTGTGATGGTCGCAGTCTTACCCTGCTTCAGAGAAATATGCCCCATTCGCAGACCTTCTCTCGGAGGCATAAATCTCGCAGCCATCCAGGCAGTCGATGGACCTGCTAGTGTATGCAATGCTTCGCCTTTTACCGGCTCGATGGGTCCTTGTCTTGGGGATTATGAATTTGCTTCATTCTTTTCGAATCGATTTCCATAGCATACTTTTTGGGGCCACAGAAGTCTGTCCCTCTGTAGGTCTGGGGCTCTCACAATTGCGCTAATCAGACAGGACTTGGATCTCCGATTTCCTTGGCTTGCGTTTCGATGAGGATGTGGTGACTCAACCCCAGCCCCCCCCCCCCCCAGCCCCCGCCACCCCCCGCGGTGTCTGCCTGTCGCTGACAAACAAATTAAAAAGTTATGACTAAAAACGTTTCTCGCCCGCTGCCCGGCAAATGAAATGAAATGCTGTACGTGCACCCTCCACCCCGCTCCGCTCCACCCCGCTCCGGCGCGGCGGCTCCGCTCTGCTTTCTGTTCTGTGCTCGAGAAAATGCCGTTGGCTAAATTTAAATTGCTTTTGTTGCGCTTTTGTAGTTGGCTGCACTTGCGATGTTCCTTCAGAGGCTTTCCATCTCCTGCTCCCCCCGCCTCCCCCTCCTGTTGCTGCCGCTGATGATGATTTTCCTTTTTGCGCGCAAGTTTTCTTTGTTGTTTGCACAAATAGTTTTTTGTCGCCTGCCCGCCTGCCCGCCCGCCCGCTGGACGATTTTCCTTTTTGAATAGCAGGCGGCGCGTGAACAGAAAAAAAAAAACAAAATGGAAGAAGATTTTCCAAAACTAAATCACAGCAAAAGAAGCAAAAGAAATGCACGGAGTACTCGTAAGTTTTTGCAGTTAAACGTCCGGGGCTAAGCGCATTAAATCCGAAAGTTCCGCCTCCTCCTCCGCCTCCTCCTCCGCCTCCGCCTCCTCCTCCTTTTTTTTTCGCGGACAGAACTTTGGAAATCATTAAAAGCTTAAACGAGAGTGAGAGAACCACCGAGAGCCAGAGCTCAGGAGTATGAATATGAATATGAATATGAATATGAATATTGAATGTGTGGCTGACGGCAGGAAGGACTCCCTGACTGACTGACTGGCAAGCCATTAAAACCAAACACGCTGTGCGGCTAGGGCACCCCCTTCAGCCCCCCTTCCCCCCCTGAGCCAACTTATGGGGTTGTAACTTTGGCTTTTACGAGCACACAAAATGTTTGCCCTCCAGTGCACTAATCCGGCATGAGCACACGTGGAGTCCTGGGCGGGCACTCACTCAAACTCAAACTAGAAACGACAGAAAACTAACTTATTAATATGCAATGCACACTTTGTTGCTGTATTAATTGCAATATTAAATTTCCACTAATACTCGCTTAGCAGAAGGTCTAGTCGTGCCACACACAATCCACTCTGCCACTGCCACTGCCACTGCCACACTCTGCCGTCTACCCCGTAACAAAAAAGTTGTGCCGCAACTTTTGGCGGAGTAAAAGTGAGTTGAAAAACACCTAGAAACCAAGTAATTATTACATGTTTACGTGCGCCAGGGTCCGTCGTACACCCATGCCCCATGCCCCATGCCCCATGCCCCGTACCGTGTCCTGTCTGTGTGTCTGTGCTTCATTCGGCATGCGGCACGAGTGCGCTGAAAAGCGATACTAATGTGAAGTTTCGCCTGCTGCCTGCTGCCTGCTGGCTGCCACGAAATGAACTCAATTTGCTACGTTTTGCATTACCAACCCCCACTCCCTCCGCCCGCACCACTGCCGCAAAAGCTGGCGCGCGGACATCATTTCCATATGCGGCAGGTCCTCCCGTGCAGCGTTTCGGTTTCGCTTGCCCGCAGCTTGATGTGTGTGGCGGAGGAAAATGCTGCGTCTGGCAGCTGGAAATTGCACTGAACAAATGCACCCACCAAAAAAAAAGGAAGCATATAAA